GTGTGACTGCACCCAAACAAGAATACGGTATGTGGCTAGGTAGCCAGTAGTTATTCATGTATTTAGATTTTACTTTATATATTTGAGGATATCTAAACATTAAAGATCAGGCGGCTTTGCCGCAGATAAAAATAGATAAAAATCAATTTTGAATTTAAACCGAAGAGTCTATTAGCCTTAGTTAAGGTACTAACCACTACTCTTGGAGGTAGCGGATTGCGATCGCTACACTCGTATTGGTTCTTGTAAAGAACGAAAGGTCGGTGACCTAAATTACGCTTCCTCAAGCACAAAGCTACGGCAGCCCCGCTGCATGCTGCATCTACAACTTCGTTTCTTAAAGGTACTCAAAGGGCTGTACATAAGTATTCATACTAATTTACGAAACTCTTGCTGAGTACAATTAATTAAGTAGTCATCACGTCTAAACCACTCGTGAATTAAGTTTGGTACTGCTAATGCTCTTGGTGTTAAGTGACCTTTCCTTCCTATCGCGGATCCGTAGAATCAGAGATTTGCCGCATTTCGGGTCTCTTCCCCCGTGAAGTTGAAATTATGCTTACCGGTATTGTCAAACTTTTTCGGTCAAAGCGACATACAGACAACATACATGTCACCTTCGTTTATTACATTGTGCAATTAGCTTCACTTTTCCCTCTCGACTATGGCAGACGACGAGGCGGCGTCTGTGCGTGTGGCCGTGCGGATCCGTCCTCTTATCGGACGTGAAAAAGTGGAGCGCTGTGATGAATGTGTGTCCGTATTAGAGGACGAGAATCAAATTGTTATGGGGAAGAATCGCGCCTTCACGTACGACTACGTCTTTGGCAAGTACGCGCAGCAGAGTGACATCTGGCGCTGCGTTGATCCGTTAATTCGCGCCACATTTGATGGATATAATTCCACCATCTTTGCATACGGTCAGACTGGTTCGGGCAAAACGTTTACGATGGGCAGTGGCAGCTCTATGAGTATTTCACCAGAGGATTACGGTATCATCCCACGAGTTATTACATATATGTTCAATCAGATCGACGTTAAGACTGCAGAGAATGCACACTATCGTGCGGAGCTTCGCATTCGCTTTCTAGAGATCTATGGGGAAGAGATCCACGATTTGCTTGTGACACTTGGAGACTCAAGAGGCGAGAACAAAGTGAGTCTTCGGGAAGCCGAAAATGGAGGTGTACAGGTATCAGGAGCATCCGAAGTCGAAGTTATAGATTCTGACGAGTGTATGAGGCTATTAGAGCGAGGTACATTATGTCGAACGACGGGTAGTACTTTGATGAATGCACACTCTAGTCGGTCTCATGCCATTTTTACAGTCTCGATGGTCCAACACGTCCCAATAAGCGATGATACGGATGGCAAAGAATTAATGGAGGAAGATTATGAGACTCGAAGCTCGTACTTTAATTTTGTGGATCTTGCTGGTTCTGAGCGTCAAAAACGAACACAAGCAGAGGGTAAGCGTTTAAAGGAAGGAATTGATATCAACAAGGGTCTTCTTGCGCTTGGTAATGTTATCAGTGCACTTGGTGATGACAAAAAGCGAGGCAAAGTGCACGTTCCGTATCGTGACTCAAAATTAACACGAATGTTGCAAGACTCTTTGGGGGGCAATAGTCGAACGCTCATGTTGACTTGTGTGAGTCCAGCGGATGTCAATTTCGAAGAGACATTAAATGCTCTTAAGTATGCGAATCGAGCTAGAAATATTCAAAACAAACCGGTGGTAAATCGTGATGAAGCGTCGGCTTTGACATTGGAATTACGTCGTCAGGTACAAACACTCCAGATGGAGGTGCACCGATTACGTAATCCAGGCCTTTCGGAAAGCGAGCTTAAGATGGCAAGTGTTGGGACGGATTTTATTGGGATGTCGTGTGATTTTGACTCGTTTGGCGCTCTTCGAACACGTGCAGAGAATGCAGAAAATGAGGTCGCTCGGTTGACGGTGGAGCTTAAGCGCGGTAAGACGCAACTTGATCATTTGCGAGAAGAAATGATCGCAGCACAGGCTGAACGCGATTATTTAAGACTTTGTGTGGATGAAAGTGGGGAGTGTAGTACTTTGTCACCCGAAGAAAAAGAATCCAAGTCGAATGTGATAAAAGAGCAATTGCGAACGATTTGTGAGTTGCAAGAAAAGTTGCGCACAGCAGAACGTGAGCTTGACAACGTCATGATGAATGTTCCTGTGTCGGGTAGTAGTAGCCTTAGTGGCACCCGGACAGCCACTGCACCGCCTATCTCAATCCCGTCGTTGGCAGAGGTCGATACGAAGGTGGGAAATGAGTTGCTTGAACGAGTTGAGAGAGAAATTGAGCGAGAAACGGCATTGCTGATCAAATTGAAAGAGGAAGAGAGCGGGGATGAAGCCGGCGGGGAAAGTGCTGGTAGTGGAGGCGATGGGGAGGAATTAGCTGACGGTATGGAAGTTGAAGAAGAGAATCAGGAGGAAGCTGATCGAATGCGCGTGTTTCAGCGACGTCAACGCCATCTTGGGGAGTCTGTTCAGGACCTTGCTCATGACATTTCCTTAAAAGAACAGCTTGTGCAAAATATACGTCAAGCTCAAGAAAACTTTGACCGAATGAGAAGTTTTTACGAGCAAAAGATGGCAGCAATGGTAGAAGAAGTGCAAACTGCTCAAATTGGTCGGGATCGTCTTGTCGAAGAGATTCAGCAAATTGAAAACAAGGCTGCTTTTGAAGGGGATACGTCTGGTGGGAACAAGCGACTGGCAAAGCTGTCGCAAGACTTGAAACTAAAGGAAGATGAGCTTGACGGCCTGCGAAAGAAGCAAAATGATATTAACCGCTTTATGGCTCAAAAGAAAAAGAACGAAATGCAGTTGAGAGTTTTGAACTCGGAAATTAGCAACATGAAGCGGCAAAAGGTGGATCTTGTCAAGAAAATGCAAGACGAGAGAAAGCGATATGAAGAGGAGGCGAAGCAACGCCGTCGTGAGATTATGAATTTAAAACGTATTCAGCAGCGTGATAAGCAACAAATTCTGCGATTAGGGTCCCAAAAAGATGCCCAAGAGCGGGTTTTAAAGCGAAAGATGGAAGAGGTCACGGCAGCAAAGCAACGTCTAAAGCATCAGCAGCAACTAACTGCTCAAGCACGCAAATTGAACGCTGCGTTTAGTCGTAAGAAAAACGTGATCACGAATCGAGCCGATCGCGATGCAATATGGCTGTCTGAGGAAGTCAAGAAACGTGCCGAAGAGCAGCAAAAGCTTGAGCAATTGCAGCAAGAACGAGAAGCAGTCGCAAAGGAGATGGAAGCGTTGTATGCTCAGCGTGATAAGCTCGAGAAGGAGGTGAAAAATTCGATAGCGTCGCAGACGAATATTCGCGATGTGTTATCCTCTTCGCCGATGGATATATCGTCACCCAGTCAAAGAAACAGTTGGCGGCAGCAGCAGCATAATCCTGCGGAAGAGCAGCTCCTTTATGACTTAGAAGAGCGCATTGAAGCGTGTCAGGCTCAGTTGGAATACAAAGAAGAAAAGATCTCCGAGATATCTGATGATGTACAGGGTGTCGATGAAGGGAACGCACTCGCTAAAATTGAGAAGACGCAGTCTTTGCCTGAAGCCCGAACGCTTTTGAAAATGCTGTTTAGTATGGCGGTTGATGTCAAGAAACAAGATCAGCGCAAGGAGCAGGAGCTTGCAAAGCAGCAGGTGGAAATGGCAGAATTGGCTCGTCATTTGGAGCAAGAGCGAGAAAAAACAATTCAAATGAAGCAAAGCTACGAAGAGTCATTGCAGCGCGTGGTTAATGGCGGATTAATTGTAGATACGTCCTCGCCCGCACACGATGCGCTAGATGATCGTACTCGCATTTTGTTGGCAGTAGCTGAAGAAAGAAATGCTGCGCTGCGAAAAAAATGTGAAGAGCTCGAAATGCTTTCTCAAACGAGAGAACAAGAAGAGCAAATGTTGAACGATCGACTCGAGCAGGAACAGCAGAATGTTGCCGCTGGTAGAGAACGCATCCAATATTTGGAAAGAAAGCTGAAAAAACTTAGTGCTCTGGGTGTTGAGAATCATAAACGCGCTGGAGATCCTCCTTCTCCCTCAGGCACCATATTTGCTGCCATTCCAAGTCAGACACAGATGGGACCGACTTCGTGGGCCAACGAGCTTGACGACGATGAAGAGATGGGAACAGAGGATGAGCATGAGTGTACTGAAGACATTACCATGCGAAGCGATGACGACACAAGTAGAAGCTCTCGCATAGGGCCAAATCGGCGCCGATTTCGGATGAAGCTGGAAAATAGTGGTAGTAACTCGGATCTCGCATCGAAAAGCAATCGGAAGGGTCAAGGTGCACGTCGTCGTGATCACGACGACAATATAGTTGCACAATACGATGGAGCGAAAGAAGATTCGCCGCGCGTGGGAAGTGATGACTCATCTTCGACTTCAAAATCGATTTTCTCGCGACTGTCTCACCCGACGAATTTTACCGGAATTCACAAAAATCGCGTTCGAGAGAGTGCCACAAAGCGAGAGATTTTGCAAAGCCGCTCAGAGCGAAACCGTACGAGGCGATTAAAGGACAAAGGACAGCTCAAGCTGGCAAAGTCTTCTTCAGCTGTTCCGATGGAACAATTTGTCAGCACATCTACCGGCTTAAAGAATGCTTCTTCATTAAAGAGCAACTCTGTCTTGGAGGTGCTTGCTAACATAAAACGAGAAAACGAGTCTGAGCACTACGTGGCGACTTCTAGCTTGCGACAACCCATGTCGTACGTCACAACAGACCGTCCACGTGACTATGTAAGCGACGAAAATGAGTCTTCGGGTACCAGAGGCAATGGCTTTGGCTTGCCTCCTCCAACCCCACAAAGTGACGTATACTCACGCCTTGCAGGCCAATATACAGCCTCTGCGAAGAGCAAACGCCACGTACCGACAGTTCGCCATGACAAGTCAGTCGAAGCAGAAGTCCCAGCGAAGAGTGGAGCCCAGGATAATAGATTGGAAGATAAAAACGTTTTGGGTCAGCAGCAAGAAGGTGGAGGAGACATTAATTTTGCTGGTAGTGAGGACGAAGAAAGCTTCGACCCACTTCTCGGCGGGGAAAGTCTTATCAAGCAGGTACATGACGACTATAGGGAGCGATTAGCCCATCTAAATTCTGAGTGGGGACACTAGGCACCAGTATATTCCACTGTCTTGTTCAACTGTGGCATAAAATTTCACCCAAATAGACAAGAGTGACCACTTTAAATGGACGTGCAGTTAATATGGATTACACTTTTGATAAGCTTACGCATAGTCGCATATCTCTTGTTTGACGGAGAGGTATTGCTGGTATGTAAGCTTATGGATGGAGGTACGGTAGCGTGTGACCTTGACGGTTTTAAGCATATCTTCAGATACGGTACAGCGATAGCCAGCCTTTCGCATTAGCGACGTAATCGTCTCGACATGAGTCCAGCCTTGCTCTCGCGCAACCTGAGGCAGGTAAGTAGCGCTGTACGTATTACCATCCGAATCGTTGAACTTGATGATAATTCCATGAGTACCAATCTGTTCATGAAAATGAGCGCAGCTCCCAGTAAGCTTACACAGCAAAACAATAAAGCGATTGTAGAATAGCAATATTACCACCCAGTCGTCGTAGCTTTTGGCGTCGTTATAGTCAATGAGAAGGGACACGGAGCAGAGCAACCGGTTTAGCTCTTGCGGCCCGATTGGATCAAAGCGACGATCGTGCAAGGCACTTTTGAATGTGAAGTCACGCAGATTTTGAAGACGCGTGGGTGCCAGTGTACCGATACAACCCCGCAGTTGAATCCTGCCTTGTTCCTCGACCTCCCATGTCACGAACAGCGGACTGGAAGGAGTATGTAGTGTTGATTATAATTCTCATAGGTTGTTTAGATTGACAAAGCGTACTATTCCTGCTGTACATCAAAGAAAGGTTTGGGTTCGGTACTGCCATTGAAGTGGGACTGTAGCGTGTCAAAGCAGTAGACGACCATCGCAGCGCTTGCCATATTAAAAAGCTAAATGAGCTTCAAGGTGACACACAAAATTTGACAAGTTGAGTGTAGTCATCTTGATGTACATTACACTATGCCATGCAAAGGTCAGAAGTACCAAAGTAAAGTACCATGATAAAGTTTCGGCAAAAGGCCGATTATTTTAAGTAGTCAACATAAATATATTTGAAGTTGATGTTGTGTACATGTGCCATACAGATCTCTAAATGTGCAAAATACAAAATCACACAATCGTTAGAGTATTTATATTATGCTTTTGCGTAATCGATAAGCACCAAAGTTTCGATATTTTTAAAGCTTATGTGAATTTGCATAGGGGGGTT